ATCTTACCATAGGACTTCTCATTCCTTACAATCAATAATCGAAAGCAACACCTTCGGTATCGCTCATGAACGCTGAACCTCCAGACCACCTAGGAATTCTTTACTAGGACGAGACGGCCATCCAGTTCTCACAGGTTTTAAATGATTCTCTTGGCGAGATCTGTTAATGGCTTCAAAAAAATGTAATTTGCATTGTTAAATAATAATTCATAGAAAGTCTCTATATAAGAAATAATGTCATTATTCATCACCATAAGTTTTGTACAAAGGAAAGAATCCCTGCGTCAGTTATGCAAAATAACGATGAACCTATCTTCAAAATACATTCAAATTGTAATTAGTCAACAACTATGCACTCATTAATGCTTTTCAATAGTCATCATTTTCAATGAAGAAACTTGTTGAAGGGTAGACAAAGGGAACAGTGTGTCCATAAGTGAGCTATTTCTCTTTGAGACTTCGATTATTTAGCATCGTGATAAATTGTAAGCCATTCTGAATATCGAATGAGTACACACAGTTAAGATTTATATTTATATTTGATTCAAACGAGTCTAAAACGAGATTGTTGATTACAGTATTCATACAGTTGGAAAAAACCTGGCGACAACGTTTGACTGAGCCGCCTTAACTTCATTTGTATGATTTACACCCCATATTATTGCCTATCCTTGTTTCTTAAGATTTGTATTAATAATAATGAGTCGATGTCAGCTAGACTACAATTGGCTTCAATATGATTTCCTAAATTTCTGTCGAAAAGCCATGACCAGTGAAGTCCAATGCATGTCGGGTAGAGACAGATATCTACCTTAGATAATCGATGGATGATTGCGCAACCGTTTATGGGTCTATAGAAGTTAGAAATTAACACCATTGGATGCCAACCGGCTCAGTGGTCTAGAGGTTAAGTGTTTGCGCTTGAGACCGAAAGTCCTGGGTTCTCACCTCGCATGCGGGATCGTGGATGTGCACTACTGAGGAGTCCCATACTGGGACGAAAAGGTCGTTCAGTGCTTCCAGGTTTTCAATGGTGGTCTAGATGACATTGACTCATGAAATCAACTACTGAAATTATTAATATCTCAATTAAAAAAGTTTTATCAGTATAGTGAGCTTGTGACAGTAATTGAACATTACTGACCATTGAAGTTTGACCATGTCCGCTGTAAAGCAATTAGTAAGCCACCAGTGGAGTTGTATGATGGATACCAGCCCAGTAGTCGTAATGTTAAGCACTTGCTCAAAGACCTGAGTTTCCCAGGTAGAATACACGGTGGGACTGGAGGTGCTCGCATATGAGTAGTTCCATACTATGAAGAAATGAATATCCTAGTTTTCACTGGTTGTCTAGGTTAAGTTAGTTTTTCATGTGAATACATCTTTACTAAGGATTCAAATATGAAATAAAATATTTTAAAAATAGTTTACTTCGACAGATCAACTTTGCTCAAACAATTATCACCAACAATTCCTGACGTAAACTACATATTCAAATGAAACAACTCCCACACAAATACACACACCATTCATAATGTTAAACTCATGCATATTTTTCCCTCCTCTAATTTCCATATGTAATTGTAATCAGAGGAGGGTTTTTGTGGATATTATAGTAATTTAATAGTTCAATTCATGAACCAATTGAAGCTAGATCACTATGGAAAACCTGAGAGCAATGGACGACCGTATCATCCTAGAATGGGACTCCTCAGCAGTACTCATCCACGACCTCCCCCCTCGCGAGATTTTAACCCAAGACATACTAGTCTCGCGCACAAACGTTTAACATCTAGACCACTAAACCAACTGGCATCCAATTGTGTTAATGTCTAACTTTGTGGATTGATCGTGAATGAGCACTGCTGAAGAGACCAAACGGTCGTCCAATGCTTCCAGGTTTTCCATAGTAATCTAGCTTCAATTGACTCATAACTTCAACTATTAAATATGTAATTATATTTTACTAAATCATATACATTAAAATTGTACATTTCTACTAAACATATCACTACTACTTATTTCTACTCATTTGTATTTATATACTTATCTATGTACATATTTGACAATTTGGAGAGAAACAAAAAATAGCATACAATTCCAAGTGACACATAGAAAAATAAATAAATAAACATGTTCTATATTTGTTTAAATGAACAAATAATATAAAATTGTTTATTTATATTTGTAGGCGTATTATTTATTTATTCAATAGTCTAAAGTACACAGATGGATTTTAATGTTGATTCTTTCACTCTTTATTTGTTATTATTATTCTTATTATCTGTTATTCGAATGTATACGAGAGTGAAAAAGAGAAAGAGAAGGAGGAGGAGGAGGAAGAGGGAAGAATGAGAGAGAGCAGGAGTATGTGAGTACATTGTCGTTTTTAGATTTTTTTATTTATATATTGTATTGAGCGCGCGTGTGCGCGTGCGTACGTGCTTACTTGCATGTACGCACATATATGAAAGAGATTCCATTGAAGGGGAATAGAGAAAGAAAACTATCATATATACATATATATAAAAAATACAAAGCCAACTAAATGATCAGTGTTGAGTTGTCTTTTTTTTGTTGTTAGAAGGAAAATCGAAAAAACAAACCACATTTTTCATGTGGGACACAATATGAAAAACAATAATGATAAGATGAATAATGTGTCTAAATTGAAATGGTCTCCTTCAGTTTAGCTCTCGCTCTCTCAGTCAGTCAGTATGTGTGTGTGTGTGTGTACATTTATTGGATAGTACAATTTGTTTATTTACACAAACTGATATCTATCGTAGTTAATTATTAATTTAAGAAAGAAAACTATATTTACATATCATTTGACACCAATTAAAGAGATTATTCATGAATTTTGGACCAATATACTTTGTGATTATACTTAATATTTTAGTTACAATCAATATGGATGAATTAATCACCATGATTGAACAAAACAGTTTTGATATCATGGTATACACAATCAATAATATCAGATGATTGGATACAACACACTTACACACACACACACATGAACGAGTCCGAGACTTATTGAAAAGGCATACTTTTTGAAGTGATTTAAATTACGTAGTGTGAAATCTTAATGAAATCATCTATTTGTCTCAATTAATTAATAAAAAAAGGAGAATTTTTGGTGTAAGTGATTGATAGAGAATGTTGAGTACTAAAGTTTACATTGTAAACTGATCTTAATTTGAGAAACCCATTAAAGATCCAAATTTAATGAAGAGTTGTATCGTTTTGTTGTTGCGATACTTACTAATATACATCTATGACACCAATTATTAGTCACCGGCAACCATGGAACTGTATCTCTTAACGTTGCTCTGCTGTCTTGTGGATTAGACCTTTAGGTCAAAAGCTCAAAGTGTGGACCCCTGAGAAATCCACCTGGTCCGGTTTGGGCTCCTAGGCAATATTCTAACCCTCACACAAATTGAATGATTTATGTGACGCATATCTATTTGATGCCTCCTTGTACCAATGTTTATATGTTTAAATAAATTTAAATAAATAAACCATATCCAACTAATAACCCATTAATATTTACATCGGCAGCCATCTAGCATTCTGAATGAATTCAGTTTTTTAAAAAAAATCAGTTGGTAACTATTCAATATATTTCATGTTATATTGTAACCAAATAACATCAGTTCAAATCACTGAATGTTACTTCATATTCCATTGATAACATTGAAAGCTTTTTTTTCTCCTCAAAACAGACACACTACTAATTAAATGATCATGTGCTACTAAAAACAAAATTTATTTTCTTTCTTCACCATCTATACTACTATTAATATACTTATCTTTTTTTCTGCATGAAATGATAGTAGTCTCAACTTTCATGATGATCATTTCAATATTGAATATGAATACAATAATAACATAAGTGATTAATTATAGTCTATATTATGATTATTACTTCATATCATAAACAGATATGTATCCATATCCATATCATAGAAACAAAAAAATATTATTATTTTTTTCTTCTTTTTCTTTAGAATAATCACAATTATTTGATAGATTTCAATCATCGAAAATTAATTTGTAGAGGTGGTGGTGATGGTGGTGTCTGTGGGTAAGGGGTGAGTGTGTGTGGGGGGGGTGAGTAGAGGGGAGTATGTGGTAGTTTGTTGTGTTTTTTTTGCACTTCAAATTACAATTATTTTTTCTCTATAAATAATGGCTGTGTATTTTTTGTTGTTGTTGTTGTTTAATTGACAGGAGAACTAGAATAATCGTCAACTTGTAAAAGATCCAAAATACATTATATATACAACATTTATATAGATAGATAGATATAGATGTCAGAAAAGAATTCAATCATTAAAGAATGACTGAATGTGTTTTTTTTCTTTTCTCTCTCTCTCTCTCTGTCTGTCTCCCCCTCCATTCATCATGTCATTGTGGGCGACAAGATTAAAAATTGTATTATTATTATTTTTAATATTTACATGTCAATTAAATTTGTACTAACTAGTTAATTATGCTTAATTATAGAATCATAGTTTTATTGAATCATTCATGATTAGTAATTGTGCAAGTATAATCAAACTTTAATTATTTGTATGATTTTATATTATATCTTCAATGGAATATCTGGTGAAGTTGGATGAAACATGTTCAACTAGCATAGAATGTATTAGTTCCTTCAAGATTATAGAGATATATTGTTGACTAGTACTCTAGTCAAGTTCATTCAGTTATCTAATTTGTATCATTATTTCTAGTCGGATTATCTCTACTGTCAATTGCTATATATGAAATTTTTGTAAATACTGAATAATTGTTATATGAAATACACTACTGAGGAGACCTATAATAGGACGAAACGGTTGTCCAGTGCTTCTAGGTTTTCCATAATGGTCTAGCTTCAATTGACTCATGATCTCAACAAATCAAAGTTTTAGAAACATTATAATGTAACAAACTAAGATAAAATAATCGTTCATTTCCATAAAGAACACTATTTTCCTCAAGATTTGATGATGATGATGATGATGATGATGATGATGATGATGATGATGATGATGATGATGATGATGATGATGATGATGATGATGATGATGATGATGATGATGATGATGATGATGATGATGATGATGATGATGATGATGATGATGATGATGATGATGATGATGATGATGATGATGATGATGATGATGATGATGATGATGATGATGATGATGATGATGATGATGATGATGATGATGATGATGATGATGATGATGATGATGATGATGATGATGATGATGATGATGATGATGATGATGATGATGATGATGATGATGATGATGATGATGATGATGATGATGATGATGATGATGATGATGATGATGATGATGATGATGATGATGATGATGATGATGATGATGATGATGATGATGATGATGATGATGATGATGATGATGATGATGATGATGATGATGATGATGATGATGATGATGATGATGATGATGATGATGATGATGATGATGATGATGATGATGATGATGATGATGATGATGATGATGATGATGATGATGATGATGATGATGATGATGATGATGATGATGATGATGATGATGATGATGATGATGATGATGATGATGATGATGATGATGATGATGATGATGATGATGATGATGATGATGATGATGATGATGATGATGATGATGATGATGATGATGATGATGATGATGATGATGATGATGATGATGATGATGATGATGATGATGATGATGATGATGATGATGATGATGATGATGATGATGATGATGATGATGATGATGATGATGATGATGATGATGATGATGATGATGATGATGATGATGATGGTGATGAATGGAAGATAGCAAAACCCAAGTTTAGATACTAGCTTCCAAAAACTATCCAACATCTCATCTTTGTTTTGTCAACATGTACACAATATTTTTAAGGCAAATTTCAAAAAGTCTGATAAATAAATCCAAAGATTCTGGTACAATAAATACGAAAAGTTAGTGTTAGCAATGGTATGTAGAGACAATCGTTTAAATTTCTCATTCAGTATGAATAAATATTGTACCATGATAATGTAAAGAGAATGACTTTATCATACTACATACGTGAAATGACCATTAAACACCAAACCAGTGTTTGAGCATTCGACATGAGACTTGAAATTCTTGGGTTCCATTCCCATTAATGTCATGGGTGCACATTATTGAATAATCATACGCAGGGACGAGAGAGCCTTCTATTGTTTCATGGTTTTCAGGCATAACCGAAACGAGATAAATATAATGGTAAACTGATGAACATAAAACAAAGGATTAGAAGTTTATTTCGAAATTTGCCTTATCGAATTTTAGTTAGTCAGTTATCATCAACATAGAGTCTAGCATCAATGTACTCTAGCTCAGGTTTTCATTAGTACGTATTAATAAAACGAAATTAAATTAACTAGTTCACTGAAAAATCATGATGAGGAATGCTAAACATCTAGAATATGATTCGGAAAAATAAAGTGGGAAGGTATGTGTATGAAACTTTAATAGTTGAGATCAAGCGTTAATTGAAGTTAGACCACCGTGGAAAACCTGGAAGCACTGGACGTCCGTTACACCCTATTGTGCGACTCCTTAGCAGTGCACATTCACGATCTCACCTCGCAAGATTCGAACCCAGAATTTCTCGGTCTCGCGCCCGAACGCTTAACCTATAGACCACTGAGCCGGCATTCAATGGTGCTAATGTTTAACTTTAACTAATCTACGAATGATGAATAGATTTTAAATCCATTCCACTAACTAAAAAGTGTTTAAATCAATTTCACTGTACATTTCAATATAGAAACCTTGAAATAATTGTTAAGAAGCCAAAATGAAAAAATGTTATCTTATTTGTTTTATTGTTTGAAGTCAATTTTTATCAGGAACTGACATTCATGCTAATGAATTATTTAAAGCTAAAGATTCAATGGATAGGCTACTTCATTTGAGATTTATAAACTTATTATTAATTTACTCACATAGGCTATAAATTTCCTAATAGATGGATGCCGGCTGTCTCAGTAGTCTAAAGGTTAAGCGTTCATGCGCGAGACTGAAATGTTCTAGGTTCGAATCTTGCGAAGCGGGACCGTGGATGCGCACTGCTGAAGGTTTCCATATTAGAATGAAACAACCATTCAGTGCTTTCAGATTTTCCATGGTGGTCTAGCTTCAATTGACTCATAAATTCATTTATTAAATTAATAGAATCTTAACAAAACACCTCTCAGATGAAATACTATCGAATCACTAAGAATCAATAATATTTTCAAGCAAAGATGAATAGTGGCGCGTTTCATTCTGTTTGAGACTCTTCAGCTAGATGTACCTGCATCCCAGATTTGATGTTCACTCCGGGACTCGAACCCAATATCGTACACTTCATACGCCATCGAGTTTTCCACTTAACTACCGAATCCTTATAGCCACCTGATTGTGCAATTGGGTGAAGTTTAAATTCACTTGATGTTGTTTTACTTATATCTTCTCATTCTTATTTAGGACTGAAATTCGCAACACACAGGTACCAAGCATCAGTTCTTTTTTTAAGTTTACTATTCTTTCCAGTTAACCTTTAATTATGTGGTTTATTGACCTTTATTGTATGAGTCGATATATCGGGTATCTTCAACCAAACTTTCGATGTCTTCCCAAACGAATTTGTGTCTGTGGTTGTCTACGTGCATTCAAATCAGTCATAACATATCTTTTAATATTTAACGTTTATGTTTGCGAAAGTGAACGAAACGTTCACTTTGTCGAATATACCGTGTATCTTGAACATAAACCTGTTCTAAGTAAATAGATTACGTTAATGGTGAAACTATACTATACAGACAGCCTTAAGCGAATTTAAGGATGGCCTTATAATTAACCAATCAAAAATAGCCAGTCAGAATGCAGTTGTTGTGTGAGAGCTCTAAAATATAGAAAAATAATGAAATCACCAAGGATTAGTAGTTTCGAAATAATTAATGAACTTATTAGTGCTAAATATCGATAATTTAGGCTGGATATCATTGTTCTATAATCAGGATAGACCCGAATTCTCAGCCCTACATTTTTAAAAACCTAATTCCTCACCTTAAGATCTCTCGACTCCAGCTCCTAATCCTAAAAACTTCTAGACCGTAACTCCGAAACGTAGTACTTCTAAACGTTGACTCCTAATCCTAATACTTTAAACCTTAACACGCACCTTAGCCTTAGCCATAAGACTAAAACCGCTCAACCCTAGATCCTAATCCTACAACTTCCAAACCATTATTTTTAACTCTAATACTCCTAAACTTAACATACTGACTTTAACACTTCATTCCGCAAGAAGACCACTATCCCATCCTTTTGAAATACGAATTATCATAAAAATCATGAGTTTAAGCAACAAGCTATCCACAATAACGTTTTTAATACACGTATCGGCTATTTTAATTTTGACTGATCGTTCAAGGGCATCGGGCCTGTTACCTCTCGTGGAGGGGCATAGGCTACTCACTAGCGTTCTCTATCGAACTCTAGCCTGGGCAATCCGTTCCACTTGTTTCCAGTTGATATTTATCCTCTTGATGTTTGCCTCCAATTACCTTCAGGATCCCAAGTTAGCACTTGCTTCGTGATACAGTTTGATGATTTCCAAAGTATGTGTCCTATCAACTTCCATCGTCTTTTCCTAATTTCCTCTTCAGATGGAACTTCGTTTGTTCTCTTCTACAGTAGGCTGTTGCCAATGGTATCCGACCAACGGGTCTGGAGATTCTCAAATAGACAATTGTTTATCAATACTTTTACTATTTTGATGATAGTTGTGATAGTTCTCGAAGTTTCAGCTCCGTACAGTGGAACTATCTTGACGTACTGTAATTAGTACTAATATCTAATATGAAAATTTTGCCCTATTATAAGAATAATTGTTTACATTTGTTCACTCTTCTTTCTTCTGTCCAATAGCGACCAATTGTTGAATTTTCATTGGAAAATATGAGAGCGTTACAATTAAAACAGAAAAGAGCAGAAAAATGTTTGGTAAGTTGCAAAAGTTTATATAAATCTTCGTACTATTACGCAATGTTATATGGTATTTCATTTATTATACACTTATGTTTTGAGTCGATCGTATCATCCATCCATCTTAGCAGTCCCTATATCCTCCGTTATGATACTAACTTTGGGATTATAGGGAAAATGTGAGAGGTAGTCAGTTTATTACTCGGCGATGTATGGAATAAAAGCTTTGTAGGACTAATATTTTTTTTGTTCACCATGATTCATCGGTTGGTGTCCTAGAGAGATGGCGAAATCATTGGATTAAGTTGTTTTTAGATGTAGCTTTGAATAGAAAGCAGTAACGATCCATCTATAGTGTTCTATTACAATCTTCGTATAAATGAAACAAACTTTCTTCTTTGAAAGACGTCTTTCTTGGTTATATTCTTAACTGAACTGTATCTCTGATTATATACGTTTTTCATTGACTTATTCGTATTCACTTGTTTATTTATAACTTAACTCCGACTCCTTCCTGTAACCCTTCAGAATTTCACTTTACTTGTGTGGCATATCCTTATTTTGGTCCCACTTTGTCCAGAATGTATATATATTAAGTAAAATAATCACTAACATATGTATACATATCCCTCAATGAATTCTTAGTTCTGAAATTACAAGTGTCACACAACAGTAGTTTTTAATTCAAATTGACTCATTCATCAGGTATTTAATTATGAGCCACATCATAATTTTGGAATTTCACGCCTGTCATCCTTTGTGTAGTATAGGCCCCCCTGATCAGGATTCTCCAACCAACTCTGTCCTGAACAATCCTTTCTAGTTGTTTCCAATCGCTATTCATTCTTTTGATGTTTACTTCTAATTCCCTATCCAATGTATACTTTGGTGTTCCTCTTTTCTTTTTCCATTCAGTTTGTTGATTTCCTCAGTGTATGTCCTATCCACCTCCAACGTAAATTTAGATGTTATGGTTGAGTGAGGTGGACTGCAAAAACATTTAAAATCAAAGGGTATTGAATAACTTGATATGAGATGGAGAATGTTAATAGCTCAGGAGAATGATTTTGGCGAAGTCGCACTCTCTGAACTCAGTGGTTTAATCATGAAGTTAATACTATCCATCTAGACGATTTCATCATCAGTACTTACTTCGAAAATAAGTGGACAAACTAAAAAATGAAAGGACAAGAGAAGGCATGCCGAGCATCATCTATAAAATCAGCAGCTTTAATTCTAGAAAACATATGAGACAAAATAACCTCTCTATTAATCTTTGCTTAAATAGATATCGATCAGATTTCAAGTTCCGGGATATATCTTTGCCCATAACCATGCTTCTGGACAGTTGTGGATGTACCTTCAGCTAGCAGAATGTTGGAATTGTGAACGAAGGTTATAAATAAGATCAGAGAATCTTTAAAAGCTTGCTGTCTAGATCAACCAACAATAAACATTGAAATGATTTACCAACTATTTAGAAAAATCATAAATTGATAGGAGGTCAAGTACCATGTCTGAGAAGTGAATGATCCAAATTAATGACCAAAATTATCAGTCGCTTCCGGAGAAATTTTAATAGCTCTGATTTTTCTGTTCACGATACTTTCTACAAAGATAATGAGTGTTTCATAATTAAACCATTTGACTCAGAGACTACCATTTCACTTAAATCATTGAAACATTATTTCGTCTTAGTGTAAAGTTTATTAGTATTGATCACCTAAAACCCTACCACCAGCGATCGGATCCAGAAACTGTTGTAGTTTCTTAGTGAATACAGTATTATTGAATTGAAGGGAGTCCTAAAGTAGAATGAATCGGTTAGGTCGTTTATTATGGTTCTTCTGTTGTTCAGTATTTCTTGGACTACTATACATCACTCGACCATTAGCAAATCACAAAAAATATCAGTGAACCCTGTATATATATTCCGATAACTCGAAAAACAAACATCCAGTGGCAAAAATTTGAGAGTTTCTATAGAATTTACATAAGAATCTTTTAGTATCTTCCTGACTCTTGTATTAGTACCGATTGGTTGAGAACAGACTAATGTTATTATTGTGTTCCGATTTGAGGCTAATCACAGAGTGAAATAGTTATTATTATTATTATTATTATTATTATTATTATTAATTATTTAAACACATAAACATTGGTACTAGGAGACACCAAACAGATATGCGCCACATAAATCATTAGATTTATGTGAGGGCTGGGAGACTGCTCGGGTGCCCAAACTGAAGTAGGTGGTATTTTTAGGGGACCACACCCCAAGCCTTTAACTTAATGGTCTAATCCAAAAGGTAGTGGAGCAACGTTGGGAGATGCAGTGCCATTGTAAACAGTGACCAACAATTGGTTCATACGCCATTTGTTTCCTTAAGACCCTGGAGCCCATGTGCAATATTGGGATGGAGTCTGGGTTTACCACCTCCTCTAGGAGGACCCTTCATGTTCACCAACCTGGTTAAAGCGCTGGATATTCGCTTTTCTTCCTCTCAGTTTTGTAGACAACAGTAATTCCGCGAAAAGGCAGTGAGTAAGACTTTCCTGTCAGTGGGTTGTATGCACGTGGTCATGTGAGAGCTAGGGAGGATTGACTCTCCCCACTCTCGTCCGTACAGCGGCATTTGGGGGTAGAGTGTTGCTAAACTGGATGAAATAGTTAGGAATTTCTACCTTATTAATCCATCTCAACTCTCCCTTCTGTACGATTGATATGTATATATATATTTCCGTATTTTATGTTCTTTTTTTCTTGATTTATCTTCCAAAAAAAAAACAAATAGATGCTTCAGTCTAAAACCAAAAAATCATCATCATCAACACCACAATTATTCACAAAGAATATTGAAAGGAATTCACAAAAGACTAAGTCTATATTAACATCAAAGTCATCTAATTCAACAATATATAAAAAGTCTAAAATGAATAATAATCCTAATTATATTAACAAATTACAAAAGAAATTATATTTATCTAAAAATAATACTCAACAAAAATCATCAATTTTACCAAAACATTTCGGTCCAAAAAAACGTCATCGTCATCGTGGACGATTAACAGCAGCAGCAGCAGCATCAAAACCAAAACAAAAGAAAACTCGAAAACAAAAACGTGCAGCTAAAAATACATAAAATACAATATGTAATAAATAAAGAATAAATAAGAAAATGTAAATATGATGATGATACACATGAATAACAATCTCATGTATATACACATTCGTCAAGTAGTTTGTTTGTTTTGTTATCGGTTATTCTTATTACTGTTGTACAATTTATTTGTTGTTACTAAGAGGATCAGTCATACTTAATTTAGAATGTGATACAAGTGTGTAAATCGATTCAAGTTATCACAACATCCTTGTTATATATACAGTTTCGTTTCTTAAGTAAATCTCCTGATAGAAGATGGATTCTTGAGAGTTAAAACAATCAGTATTATCTTTATAAAGATGTGTATGATAAATTTAAATAAAAGTGAGGAAAGTGGCAAACTTTGATTTTGAGTTAACTAAATAACTACTTTCGCAGGTGTACTAGTTGAAACATTTGGCTTTTTCTAACACTTCTTCATCGACTTCCGTTTAGGTAGTCACGTTGTATCGTTAGCCTTCACTCAACAGAATTTATAGCTTACATCCAAGTACATAGAAGTCTGTACTTCGTACCAAATTAAATGAACTGGTCAGAAACAACTAACACTTATAGTAATATTGGCTAACAATCTGAGTTAATGAGGACTTACAGGTTCTGATTGGCCATGTTTTGACTTAACTTTCTGAGAAAATAGACATATACTATCGGTTAAAACTGTGAGTTGATTTTATGGGGTAAACATACTTATTTGTGAAGGATATGTGTATATATTTGGTCCGATCAGACAATAAAAGTTCCATGCTCAATCCTAGTTTTCTCACTCAAGTAGCCGGTTTAGGCTAGAAAGCATACACGTCAGTAGCAGACTCGGAGAACGACGGAGGATAACAGTGACGTATATGTATTCAACTTAGTAGCTAAGTATAGTTTATTTTAATAAATATCAAGTCAGAATTATTTGGTGAAGTATACTAAAACTTTGAAGTAAACTGATTCGAGTTCGTATCTGTGATTCTTTAATGAGAAATACACCAAGCATATAGTTTTTTCTAATTCTTTATTATTGGAGAGGATTTTATGATTAGTAATAATGTTTGGGTTTGGTTAAATAAATGAATATGATGATGATCGTTAAATGATTTGTAATGATACAGTATGATCGAGTGATAACTGCTCGTATAGCCGAATTATCCACTCAAACGAGTTGAATTGATATGGCAGAGATGACTAAACGCTAGAAGAATAAGTTTTTCGTATTCAATAACGGTAGATACTTGTTCGCTTGTTCGTATATAAATAATTATCACCAAAATAAACACGAATAGCTGTGTTTCCGATTTTGTAGAGGCCTTGCACCCATATATGACGAAGATCTACCAAAGGTGATATTTTTTTTTACAAACTTTCCATTGTTATTATTGATACAGTGTGTAGGGAGAGCCCCCCTCTCGAAATGCTATCATTTGGTCACGTGTATATAGCCAATGCCAGGGAATTCCTACTCACTGCTTTCTAGCGGTGGGGGTGTTATTTACAATATTCATACTTAGAAAAGCAGAAGTCCAGTGCTTCAACCCGGTTGATGGGCACAAGGGATTCATCTAGGGGAGTTGGAAACCCCTTTCCAAACTAAAGGTGCACATGGGCCCAAAGATTCTGATAAGAGAAATGGCGTATGAACCTAATCTTCGTCACCGGCTACCATGGGACAGTATACCAGCCCACATACAAGTTCAATGATTTGTGTAACGCATATTATGACGTCCTACAACCAACCAATACGCGAAGACGATCTTAAGCGACTAATAAACATCATGGACTTAGAAGTTATACTCTAGGCCTGACGGTTGGCTCCAAAAGAGGAGGAAGAACGCGAGACCAATATTCACCTCCCGAAGATTATTAAATTTCACATATTCATTTATATTCATATAAGACCAAACCACACAGCAGACCAATTAGGGGTAACAGTATTAACACGGAATAACAACATTAATAATAGGAAAACTGGAACCTGTGTTACACAAATAATTAGTTATAGTTTACCAGTGGAAGATGCTATAACAACAAATTACGGTTCAAATAAAAGCTTAAAACCAGGGTAATAAGAAAATAAAACCGTAGAAAAATAGTTTCGAAAGTTTTTAACCGCGCTTAACTATTAGAAGATTCAAGCCTTATATCATTTAAAAACAATAAATTCCATCTGCAAATATCCAAAGAATTTATTTATTTATTTTAACACAGATATTGGTACAAGGAGACACCAAATACATATGCGCCACACAGATCTAATTTGATATGTGTGAGGGCTGTGATATTGCCCGGGTGCCCAAACCGAAGCAGGTGGTTTTCTTAGGGGGTCACACCCGGAGCCTTCGACCTGAAGGTCTGATCCACAATGCAGTGGATCGTCGCAAGGAGATGCAGTCCCATGGTAGACGGTGACCGAAAATTAGTTCATACGCCGTTTGTTCCTTCAGGATAATGGAGCCCATGTGCACCATTGATTTGGAATCAGGGTTCTCCAACTCCCCTAGGGGAACTATCCATGTCCATCAACCCGGTTAAAGCGCCGAATATTCGCTTCTCGTCCTCTCAATTTCGTAAACAGCACCCCCGCCATGAGAAGGCAGTGAGTAGGAATTCCCTGGTTGAGGCTATATACGCGTCGCCATGTGAGGGCATTTGGAGAGAGAGAGCGGACTCACCCCACTCTCAGCCGTACCAGGGCAGTTTAGTTATAAGTAAACAAGTTACTACCTTCGGTTATGAAAAAAACGGTTCAAGTTAACTAATTAATGATAATGATCTGTGGTTCTGTGTTGTTACGTGATTAAAGAACTAAAATTCACATCTCTACAACACAGTAGGAATTTGTTTGCTATGATTCTTCAGTTTTAAATCAATTTGTGATACAGTACAGTCATCTTCGATCGATGATATTCCTTTTTCAGATAGTCAGTTTATCATAATATAGAAACTGGCATATGTGTATATCGGCTTAAGTTTCCGAACCACAGCACAGAGAAATACCAGAGTAGTAGAAGTAGTCATAATACCAGTTGTGGTAGAAAACTTTGGTGATAGAAATATGACTGGAGAAAAAATAAATTCATAAAATGGAAAGGATAAGATAATTTTGGAACACGTGGTCTAAGGAGAAACAAACAACAAACCCATATGCAGTAATCAGACTAATTCCAAGCCAAGTCACCTAAAGTCCCTCGCTGCTGGTTACGACAATCTCACGGACCCCAACCCAGCTGACTGCATTTACCAATATGGTTCAGACCAACTGCCAGTGAATTCATGAACTGATGCTATGTTTCGTTTTGGGGATCCTAGGTTTCTTCCAACCCATCCCTGAATTCACCAACATTACCCTTGGAGGGAGGTAGTGGTTGAGAATACGCAATATGACACCTAGACTTGAGTAAAGCTGATGGTTATTGCTTTCTATTAAAATTCTGTGCAATTCCCGTGGTTATAGCCCACTACTTAGCTTTAGGTATGTGTTTTCGAATATCAACTAGTATAAAGTCCTAAGTTTATGGTATGTTCTAAGTGTTCCGAAGTCACTCCAAATGCATGATTGAATTGGTTATTTACAATTAATGATTTTCTCTCGTGTTCCTTGATTTGATTTATTCAACAGTGCATGCTTTCTAAAATTTCAGTCGGTCTGTTCTATAGATAAAAGGAGACCAAGATTATGTTTTGAGAGTTACCAGAAATAGCCGAATATGAATGAAACTCACGTTTATGCTTGTCTCAACTAACCCAAACAAATATGTTGGTAGTGACTTTAGGAAGATGACCAATTTACTTACTTATTCAAAAAACACTGTCTATACTTTCATTTCTTACCATATGACCTTGAAATGGCTTTTGACTTGTCTAAGCTTGTTCAGCAAGTTAAATTCCTCAACATTGTTATAACGTGGCACAATCAGAGAGCCGGACAAAAATCCTTTGCTATGTGATTACAACAAGTTACTTGCAAAAGATAAGTAGTGTGAATAGTTGTGACAAGAATATCTCCTACTTACCATTCGTTAGTTTATGATTAGCTAATTTTCCTGGGTGTAATGGAATGAGAATTTTCCTGTTCATTTTAAAGCGATTTTCCTTCGGAATTCTTCGTTAGCTAGAGTAGTTTATTGTCACTTTTCAAACTGGAGCTTACAAGTGCAATTCCCATGATCATAACAATAAGACGCGGAAGGTGACGTGTGATCATTTTCAAGGGAGGGGAAGAAAGAATGTCATAGATCTCTCTATTTCTCAATTTAATTTAATCTATCATTGTGAATAACTGAATTACAACTTAGTGGTAGCCGAATGATATCGTACTCAATACGAGGACAGATCATAGTTTCAATACTGTTTGTAACGTTATGGACGCTAAATTCTGAGAGAGACCAGAATAAAATTACAACAGCTGTTCACTGTATCCTGGTTTCCAAGGGTCCTATGGTTGAAATCAAACGATTAACAATATCTAAGAATAAAAGAATTTTATTCATAACTGAAATGAAATTTATTATTGTACATAAAATAATCTTGATCAAGTCTATCACTTGTCAATTCACATCTTGATCCTACATTTTATTACTAGAAAGTCAGCTACTGTATCGTACCTTTTTCTTTCGTGTTTAATACATGAATGTTAATCAGTTGAACGATAGAGATTTACAGTATGTTACGTTTCCTGGCTAACTAATTATTCATTTACGCTGTAATGAACGAGAACACAAGTGGGGACAATCGAATGTATTTTAATACAACATTACAGAATATCTTAGTAAAATCTGAGAGCCATACAGTAAATACTTCATTTGCACAATGTCAATCAATCATCTTAAGTATAACTGTTCTTCCTGAAAAATGTGAATCAATCACCTCAGACTTCATTGTTCTTTCGTTTCCACACCGATAATTCTCTGTTCTTGTTCTCTTTCCTTCGATCTTCCGCCACCAGATATTTTATTTACATCTGTTGATATCAGTAGACCACACGATAGTGCCACTAGCAAGACATAAAAAGATGACATTATGTTTCATTTTTGCAGTGTTTAAAATGTTCAATTTCTGTCTCATTCAGTATGTTTGATTTCAACAGTAGCTCGTCGTTGAACTAATGGTATTGATATAGACATTGAAAGATAACTTCTCTTTTATTGAAAACAATATTCCATGTGTTCATTTTGACGAGTCGTCGAAAAGTGCGCGAATGTGACGTAAACTTATTGTTAGTTATGATAGAATAGTACACTTTATTTTTTGTTACTAGGACGAAACGGCCGTCCAGTGCTTTCTGGTTTACCATGATGATCTAGCTTCAATTGACTCATGAATTTAACTATATATATGTGGATATTATACTAAATTAATAGTTGAATTCATGAGTTAATTTAAGCTAGACCA